TTTAATTTTCTTCCATAAAGCAACTCTCCAGTGTGTTCATGTTTTTAATTGTGGACGTCCAACCTCGACGAACTGAACAGAAGAAATAAACTGGAGATGATTTCCATGTCAAAGAAGGCGGAGCCTCAGAGCCACACCTACCCATGACATCATCGCCACAGACCAATGGTAGTTCGAAGGAGTTTATGAGTAGGAGAATCTTCCTGGAAAGTGTGCTTTGGCAAGCTGTTTCGGACTCATGAAATGAACTTCTTTTTGGCTTGATTTTGTTCAAAATAATGTCACACTATTTACATGTATAAAATTTGAGAGAGAAACGAAATGCATTTTTTATTATTATGTATTTTTAGGAACATCTGAGTTAACTAAAACCTTTTCTGTAATGAAATCAACCTTGAAAGAAAAGTTCCAAAAAAAACTTTTATTTTTTACCAAATTATGTGTTTTCAGTTTTCTGGATTCATTTTGAATGGTTTGATTAACTTTTAATAATCAAAAAGCATGTCTAAAATTAGTTAAATTCTTAAAAACAACAGTTTTAATTATTATTATTTTTTTAATTTTAATTTCTATATTGTTGTTTTTTTTCTCACAAATTCTGTGTTGTGTGTTGTCTGGTAATCAAATCAAGACTTTTTTATAATTAATTAAAAAATTCAGTTTTGATAATAATTTACTTTAATTATTATTAGTGTTTAAGTATTATTATTACATTGAGATGTATCTAAATTCTACTGTAAGGTAACGGTATATATTTCCGTCCAGTTAAACCGAACTTTTATTTTGACTGGTTGCAGTTAAGACCTTTGAACTTCTGTGTGTTTTATGACATTTTATGAAGGTAAAATGCTGAAGTGACTTTCAGAGCGGCTCTGGAGATGAAGTTCATGCATTCATGTTCTCATATAGCGAGGCGGCTGAGGGTAAAAAAATAAACACAGCGAGCGTCACGTGTAGCCTACTTCAGTGTGGTAGACCAAACCGTGTGTCTGCACCATTCATTCACACAAGCAGAATATGCAGGATTCATATTTAAATAGTATTTTTGCCGTTTAATGTTCACAGACTTTGTGTTTATTCATCAGAAATTTGACAAATTTCGTGAAATTCCGCATTATACAGTTAATTCCGGATTTATAACTAGATTCCACAATTCTGTCCGCGATTTCTGCTTCGCGGAAATCATACAGGGCCTAAAACACATTTCAAAAGACAGACGGATGGATTTCTTCAAGTCAGGTGAGTGAAATTAAGCCTAGCCTATATGTATATTGTCTTGTTGTGTATAAAAGCATATGCTTTTTATGCATTGGATCATCATATTTGGGGTCTGTTATACTGTTCCTCAAAAGGTTTGAAAATTGTTGGATAATTTTTGTCTTTTCAAAATTCTGAATGCCATGCGTGTGAGAAAATGATGACAGAATTTTCATTTTTGAGTGAGCTTTCCCTTTAAGGCTCTTGCCTTTTTAAAGACCTTGATTTGTCCTACAGTCCATGAAACCGTTTCATGGGGTCTTTAAATCAAGCCCACATTTCCCTGCATCGCTCTATCTACAGTATTTCTCCAATAAATGTGTTAGGAAGCAACTCATAATTTGAACCTCTGTAATGGTCTGAGTGAGAGCTTTCAAAAAGGACAAACTTATGTCACACCGGCATGTAACGCTTTGGTCATGCCTGTGAGTGTGGCTCTATTACATTATATGATAAATTCTACTTTGCCGTTCTATTTATACACAGTGCTTAAAACCCTACAGATGCACTTTAGATAAAAATCAAGTCAGTTTCCCCCAAGGACCGGTCACTCTCTACCAGATAACCTGATTACTTCTGCGTCCTGTGTGTTTTCAGATGGTTGGCTTTCAATAGCACGCGTCGGGTGAGGAGGAGCCGTGCTGCCCAGAGGGTGTGTGGGCTAAGACTACAGTAAGTCAGTGATGTGTGTCTGCTGTGTGGTATGTGGACAGGCATGTGGGCATTGACACTGTGGTTCCTCCCCTCCATCTGATTAATGGCTCTGTGAGAAAGCAGCCACCCTTTCAGGCCTCTGACTTTCCAAAATAAACAACTCCTGCTCTCCGGATTACTATCGATCTGAGCCACCGCCGATCTCTTTCCCCCTCTTTTTGCTTTCCCTGTAATCTTCCTTTCTCTCAGTTTATCTCCAACCTTTCAATCAATCACTCAGACAATCGTCTTGTCTTTCACCCTGCAATTGTGGCTCACCTGGAGTTGACGTCTTTATATATTTTTTGTGTATGTGTGGAGGTAACCCTTTTATTTACCTGACGTACGTTGTGCTTAACTACTGTAAAAGAAGTATGACTGCCAGAGGAGGGATAATGTTATTAATGTCAGAGATCTACAGTGCCCTTGGTATCTTCTCAGCAGATTGGTATTTCGTCTTCTGCTGAAGCCTGTTATTACAGTCTCCTGAGAAACGCAGAAATGCACAGAGAGGCCTATTTCATGCACGGCGTTCAAAATATGCAGTGTTTTTCTACCCATTCCTTGCATATTTTCCCCCAGCCAGTGTCTGAGTGGTCAGTTGCCTGCCATCGTCTCGCATAGACGGGTTTTTGACAGTCTGCGTGAGGTCTGGTTCACTTTGCAGCTTACTCTGGCCTCCCACTTAAACTAGAAATGGTATATAATGCAAACCAGTAACAGTTTGTTATGTGCCAGTTAGGGAATGGTAAGATTGAAAAACCCTATACAATTTAAATGGTGGTGCAAGTTGTAGATTTGCTAGCTGGAAAACAGTTCTTTTACAGCTGTCCCGATGAAAGTAATTTGTGAAAATAGATGTAAAATTTTGATTGCGGCATTACATTTAGATCTTCTCTGCATCACATTTCTTTTTAATCGTTTTTGTCTACTACAGTCAGGATTTACTAAAGACACAGTGAAACATTTGCGCTGAAGGTGTGGGCAGGGTTATTTGAGGCTGATCTAAGGGTGCTTTCCTGCCTCATTTAAGCCCCTTTCACACAGCGCGTTGATCCTGGGAAATTGCCGGGAAATTGCCAGAACGCCTACTGTGTGAACGCAAACACGACCCGGGATTGATACCGGCATCGATGCAGGGTTGGGGAGTAACATTGCCAGAATCAGTCCCGGAACGTGAGCTGTGTGAACAAAAGCCAGAACCAATGCCGCAAGGGGTGTGTCATAGTGATGACGCTCGTGCCATCGCACGAAAGTTTGTGTTCGTCATCAACAAAGAAAGGACGAACAAATGTCTGCAAACTGGAACAAAGCAGAGACCAGGAGCTCCTCACTATCTGCACTGAAGCGGAGATCGTTCACCAGCGTTGTGGAACTGGGCGTGTAAATGTTTTCGACGCGTACGTTACACGTCTCATCCTGACGTCATGTGTTTTTCCTGGATATTTACGGGTTGTGTGTGAACGCACTCACAGGTCCCGGCAAATCACTGGCAGTGTGAATGAACCAAAATCAAACATTCCCGGGACAAATGCCGGGTCACATTATCCGTGTATTTTCCGGAATCTGTGTGAAAGGGGCTTGGTTGAATCACACTAGAGATCGTTGTCCCCCTTGGTTCGGTTCGTTTGGGCAGGTGTGAATGCAGCAATCGCACTCAGGTGCGCACCAAAAGCGGACGCAACAAGCAGACCGAGAGACCCCCTCGAAGAGGTCTCACTACGCTTTCAAGCGGACATAGTGCATTATGAGATGAGGACTAATGTTTGTTGACAGTTTGCACTTTTTGCATGGCAGCTCACGGACAAACTCTTTGCATGGCAGCTCACGGACAAAGAGTTGTGAGGAGGTGCGGAGCCTTGGTCTGATGACCATATTAGGTCCAAACTTTCAAGAACTCACAAGAACAGCAAAATCTTCGCTTTGTTTAGCAAACAGCTCAGGGAAATGGGTTTCATAGATGTGTGGAATTTTCCCACGTGTTAATTCAAACCAATCAAAGTGCAGTTATGGAAATACGTTCAAGACAAATCTGGCCAAGTGAATGTTGTCACGTGACTGCATTTTGGTTCCCATCATCAACTAATTCGACCAAAACAATCAGTGTGGTGTGAAAAGGAACCAAAATGCCTGAAAAAAGCTACAAAGTATAATTTTTCGCCCTTGGTCTGGACCAAATGAACCGAACTCCACCCTTATTGCATGTGCATTTGTAGGGGTTTCCCTCTCAGATGCTAAATTTATGGGAGGAGAGTATTTAAATGAATCGCGCAGGGTAATTTACTAAGTTTTACGCTTAGGGTGAGGCTTCCTCTGTGTTCTTTGAATTGCGTTTCGTCAGTAGATCACGCACAGAACTTTCCACTCCTGCGCTTTTTTTGGAATTGCGCTCTCACGCTAATTTGCCCTGTGTAGTTAATCTGCCCCAAAGATGTGTTTTCAATGTAGACCGGGGATAGGCAACTTTGGTCCTCGAGATCCATTTTCATTTAGCTCCAGCCCTGATCAAACTCCCCTGCCTATATTGCTTTCCAGCAATCCTGAAGATCTCGATTATCTTGTTCAAGTGGGTTTCTTTGGGGAGGAGCTTAAAAAAAAGGATCTCATGGGTCAGAGATGCCTTCCCCTGGTTTAGACCTAGCCTAATCGTCCTCAAGTTGTACTCGAATCCCCCTGTCCTGGTACGCTAATGGTTGTGCCACCTGCAGCCTCTGTAGCGAGCAGGGCTTCCCCCTGAGCCACAGTCAATGGCATCTTTGAGTCCATACAATGAGCACTAGGACCCAGAGAGCGCTGCATTTTCTTCCAGGGGTTGCCTAAGCCTCAGCGCACACACCCCTGCTTAGGAAAACTGAGATAGGAAAAGAGAGGGTGGGTGAGACTAGAGGAACGCAGCTCTGTTGTTGTGGTCACTCCGAGAACACTGCTCTGGCAGAAATGAAGTGCAGGAACTGACCCGCTGCCGTCGGGAGGAGAGGAATACATGTGGAAGGGCTTATTCAGAGTGGATCGGGATTAAAAGGTGACTCAATTTGTTGATCTGTTGGGCATGCACGCGAGTGTGTGAATGCAGGCGCGCACGCTTTTATGAGTGTGTTTATGGTAGAGGCTTCAACAAAAGGAGGCTGGAGTGTGTTTGGGAGTGTAGGGATGATCTTCAGAAGGATCGTGAAAATGAGTCATCGCTGTGCACGAGGGAAATACTTGTGTGTGTGTGTGTGTGTGTGTGTGTGTGTGTGTGTGTGTGTGTGTGTGTACGTACGTGTTTGGAGTGCTTTTCCTGTCTGGGAGGAAAGACAGCACTGGTTTTAGGGAGGAAAGTGCGCAAGGCTGATCCGTTCCATGCACAATCTAGAATGACATGAGACAAAAGTTTTCTGTGGATTTGAGAGGAAACGCCACAGCCTCGTCATTAACTTCTCATCTGTTTTGGAAGCCCAGGTTTGTATCTGGAGCGTTTCTGCGGGGAAGACACTCAGGTTTACCACAGACCGCTTGTGATCTCTGCGATAGCCCGGACAGATGGTGGTAGGCGTGTGTGTGCATGCGTGTATGTGTGGTGTGTTGTGTCTGTCAGGCGGAAAACTAGTTAAGAGAGGCAGATCTGATGAGGACCACAGCAACAGCAGAGAGACGCCTCAGTGTGACTGGCTCAACACAGCTGATTGTACGCTCGCTTTTAATCGCGCTGCCACGTGTGCGTGCAATGCATTTGCGTTTGTGTTGAGTGTATTAATCTGCGCGCGAGTGTGTGGAGTCTGTTTACACACCGAGTTCAGCACATTTGGATTCTTGGGTGACTGTATCACAGTGCTATCTGAATGTTTGTCCATTTTTGGTATCACGTCTATTTTGTGGTAATCTTTTTGAAATGTATGAGTGAAATGAAAAGTGTGTGTGTGTGTTTGGGTCAAATCTCCCTACAAGGACAGTATAACCTGACATCAGCTACAATGTGAGGACTAGTCAGCAGTCCCACGAGAAATATGGCTTAATAAACCGACTTGAAGGGATAGTTCAGCCATAAATTAACATTTTTATCATCATGTACTCTCTTTCGTGTCTTTCCCTGCATGACCGACTTACTTCTGCAGAACACAAATATATTTTTGAAGAATGTTTGTAAACAAACCATGTTGGATACCATTGACTTTTTAAGTGCACGAAAAATACGTTTCTCAATCTTCAGTGTAGAAACCAGAAAGAAGAGAAACCTAATTTACCAGTGTTGTCCAATGTATTTCAAATGACAAAAAAAAAAAAAAAATTATCTCAACTTTTGGAAGTGTTTGAAACTCAAAAAAGGTAATGCAATTTTTTTTTACTGTGTAGAGTGAGAGAAAACAGATTTTCCAGTTTTTAAAAACCTTGCTTCAGGCAAAATCTCTGCTTCCACTCTTTATCACTCACATATTTTCAATCCACTGACAGTTTTACAAAATAACACCACTCTTGGACCACCAAACAAATACAATTAATTAATAAATAAATATATGTGGGTCCACTGTGTATAGTTATTTTATATTTATAAATACACACACATGCTTGTATATATTTAAGAAATATTTTCATGTATATGCTGTATATACATTTATATATAATTTATGTTATATATAAATATTTTATATAAATATATATTTATATATATAAATATTAATATATATAAATATTTTATATAAATATATATTATATATATATAAATATTTATATTTATATTTTTATATATATTAGGGCTGTGCAAAAGTTAATTGCGATTAATCGCATCCAAAATAAAAGTCTGTGTTTACATAATATATTTGTGTGCGCTGTATATAATTATTTTGTATATATAAATACCTATGCATGCATGTATATATTTAAGAATTATTTGTGCTGAAATTCTGTATATATTTATAAATACATAATCTATATTATATAAATATAAATATTTTATATATGAATAACACATTTTCTTAAATATATACATGCATGTGTGTGTATTTATATATACAAAATAATTATATACAGCACACACAAATATATTATGTAAACACAGACTTTTATTTTGGATGCGATTAATCGCAATTAACTTTTGCACAGCCCTAATATATATATATATATATATATATATTTAAATATATATAAATAATATTTTTTTTCTTAAATATACATGCATGTGTGTGTATTTTTACATATATATATACATATAATTATATACAGTGGACCCACATAATGTAAACACAAACTTTTATTTTGGATGCGATTAATCGCGATTAATTGTTTGACAGCCGTAAAATAAACTAGAGATTTAACTAAAAATATAATAGTATCAATCACACTAAAATAACACTGATCTGTATTTTTGTCTTGTTTTCCCATCAAAATATCTAAACATCCTTAAGCAACATGCATTTACTTGACATAAAATAAATCTTTAATTAATTCAAGCATTTATAGCATTGAAATTTGTATTCATGTTTTAATCACGTAATACCAATGTATATAATCATGTACCTGTGTCTTGATGCACTATTTTTCTTGATTGAAAGAAAATTAAACGGGAAACAAATCAATTTATACACGCTATACAACACAATTCAATAAACCTTTACAATGCAGTATACAACACTATGTGCATATAAAACAAGGTGTAAAGTCCCATCATGGTGAAGATCAGTACTGCTATGCGAGTCCAGTTTATCTAAAGACACTAAAAAATGAGTGTGACTGTGCTGATTATGATGTCATGCTCCATATAATGAGTCTGTGGACAAAAAATCGTCCGCACTAATGTGAGAACAGCCAGAACACTCTGTTTTCTTCTCTGTGTCCTTGAACTTGTTTCAGAGAAAAGAGCAAAGCGAGGATCGAGTGGGGTGTTTAGTTTCAGGGGCTGATGTCATGACTCATGATGTCATGCTGTAGTCTGACTGATTGCTCTGCAGCTCTGCCTCTGATTGGTCCATGGCCGCTTTTGGCCGTGTGAGTCAGTGACTTGATTTTATTTTTATTTTTCATAAATATTTACTGGCCGGTTGCCGGTGAAAGCGGATGGCACTGTGTTGGTCTTTGTGTAGTAAGGCAGCTGTGTATTTTAAGCATGTGGAGCACTGTGTGTAACATCCAAGCGAACCCTCAGTCAGCAGGAGATTGTAATGATTAGCTGTGGTTATCTTTACTACTGAACATGCAGCAGTAAAAGCCCAGATTTCATGTGCTTTTAGCCTCTCTGAGTGATGATGTCATGCCTTTGTGACTCATAAGAGATTGATCATCTTCGCCAATGGGCTATGTCATTTTCTAAAATGGTATAAACAAGTTATTTAAATCAAGTTATTAGTGGTGCTTGCTTAGGCCATTATTATTATCGCGGTATGTGTTTGTGTTATTTATATACTACTATAGTATTTATTCATACTTGAATTATAGCTTTTAATAAATAAAATAGCGTTTAATTTATTCACTTTATTTCAATTTGTACTAAAGTTTTAGTTCTCAATGACAACATTGGCTTATATGTGACCTTGAAACAGAACTTGCGTGTGCTTTACCGCCACAATAATTGGCCTCATATTTTAGATTTATGTGCTTGTATTATTGTCCTGGAAACCATATGAAAGCTGAAAAATGACTTCACTGCATTCTTTCTCTCTTCCTCCACTTTTTCCCCTCTTCCGTCTCTTGTGCACTGTAAAAGTGAAAGTGTCAGCTCACTTACAGAAGGGGTCTGGATGATCCTTCAGACTAGAAGAAACCTCATGGGTCAAAGAACAGCCTGAGCTGAACATTTTTGATTTAAGATCTTATATTATTTAAGCTAAAGTGTCGTTTTTTTTTTTTCTTTCATCATGGCTATATATAGGAGGATTTCTCTGAAAAGTCAAATGTTTACTTTACCATTTGGTAATGGTGCGAAAATTTGCCATTTTTTTATCTCTGTAATTTGACGTATTTCTAAGTGATACGTCATGGACAAATGTACAATTTAATTTCACTCATCATGAATTTATTGCTTTTATCATGCTAAATTGCGTAAGCCATTTTGCTCACATGATAACGTCAGCGAATGTTTGTTGAGTGAGGGGAAAAAAAGCAAAAAATTATATATATATATATATATATATATATATATATATAGCAAAAAATAGTACATAAAACACACTAATACTCGCTCTTCTGTTTGGGTGAGTTACTTTTAAAAGTAATGAGTTACAATATTGTGTTACTCCTTTAAATGTAAATAATTGAGTTACTTTTTATGGAAAGTATGTGTACTTTTGCGTTTCTTTTTCTCAACTGGGAAAAAGTTCTGTTTTTGGCAAATGTAAAGGCCCTTTCACACCAAAAGTGAAATTGATGAGTCTCAACCTGAAGGAAATGCAAATTCACAATTTGTACTGTAAAGAGCTAATATTTCAGCTGTGCTGCCATTCTGGATTGCAGAATAATCTTCATAACACTCTTCAGCAATAAAAACGACAACAAAAAGACCAACTGTGCTATCATTTTTGCTTATTAGTATGGTTGAATTTTTGAATTGGATCATTGAAGGTCAGCAGCCACGACATTGGTTAATATATTGAGATTAAATACATAAAGGATATACGTGTTATTTAGCATTTTATTATTGCAGGGTTACATTTGCATTTCACTACTTTTATTCATTTTGAGGAATACTGAATCTGTTTTTGTGCAAATGGGATGAGTAAATGCATGCTTACATTTAGTCCATCATGCTCACAAAGCGCACACTTTTCAGGTTTCCTGAATAACTTACGAAAATCACCGCAGGTTAACGTAAGATCTTTTGCTTATCAGACAGACATCAGATAAGAGAAATTAGAGAGTTCCAGTAGCCTAACATTCATTGTGTGTTCAGCTGTACTAGTAATACATGCTGTGCAGTCACAGTGACTTAAGTTGCTTTATAGGAATGTATAGGGGTAATGTGAAGTAATCTGCAGTCATGGGATTCATTCATGCTTTTTGATGTCGTCAGCTTCTGGTTATACGCTGTTCTGTCATTGAGCCTTGGCCACCCTATGTATGCAACTCTAGATCCCCCACTGACTCTCATCGATCTTTTACTGTAGGACAGTTAGTCCGTTATTTTATCTCAGGTGCACTCTCATTATTGCCAGCACAAACTTTGACACAAGAACAATCATTTTCTTTCTGGGTCAAAGCGGTTTCGGTCGCAAATAAAATCAAACGTGACTTTTCTCCTCCTTGCACTGTAAAAAATAAAACGGCAGCTGTGGTTGCCAGAACTTTACCGTCAAAATTAAAATATGTTAGCAGCGTTATTGGTTTTATAGACTTAACTTAAAATTTAGAGTAATAAACCCTATTTCATTATCTGATAAAATGTTAATTTGCCAACCCATTGAAGTAGGTATCTGTTTTGTACCATTGTAATACACTGACAACCATCAATCATCCCAGCAGAGATGAGTCACATG